TATTGAGGTATAAGGGCAGGTATTCAGGGAGATATTGAGGTATAAGGGAAGGTGTTGGGGTATAGGGGCAGATGTGGGGGCGTAGGGGCAGATATTGGGGTATAAGGGCAAATACTGGGGTATAAAAGAAGGTATTGGGGTATAGAGGCAGATATTGGGGGTATAAGGGTCGATATTTGGGGTATAGGGGGAGGTATTTGGAGTACACGAGAAGGTATTGGGGTATAGGGGTGGGAAGGAATTGGGGGAGGTATTGGAGTATAGGGGCAGGTATTGGGGTATAGGGGCAGGTATTTAGGGAGGTATTGGGGTATAGGGGCAGATGTTGGGGGCGTGGGGCAGATATTGGTGTATAAGGGAAGGTATTCAGGGGGTATTGGGGTATGGGGCAGATATTGGGGTATAAAAGAAGGTATTGGGGTATAGAGGAAGATATTGGGAGTATAAGGGTCGATATTTGGGGTATAGGGGGAGGTATTTGGAGTACAAGAGAAGGTATTGGGGAAGGTATTGGGGTATAGAGGAAGATATTGGGAGTATAAGGGTCGATATTTGGGGTATAGGGGGAGGTATTTGGAGTACAAGAGAAGGTATTGGGGAAGGTATTGGGGTATAGAGGAAGATATTGGGAGTATAAGGGTCGATATTTGGGGTATAGGGGGAGGTATTTGGAGTACAAGAGAAGGTATTGGGGAAGGTATTGGGGTATAGGGGCAGATACTGGGGTCTGGGTGAAGATATTGGGGTATAAGGGCAGATACTGGGGTATAAGAGAAGGTATTGGGGGTATAGGGGCAGATATTGGGGGAGGTATTAGGGGTATAAAGGAAAGTATTGGGGTATAGGGGCAGGTATTGGGGGTATAAGGGCAGATACTTGGGGTATAGGGGGAAGTATTTGGAGTACAAGAGAAGGTATTGGGGGTATGGGGGAGGTATTGGGGGGATAGGGGCAGGTATTGGGGGTATAAGGGCAGATACTTGGGGTATAGGGGGAAGTATTTGGAGTACAAGAGAAGGTATTGGGGGTATAGGGGTAGGAATTGGGGGAGGTATTAGGGGTATAAGGGAAGGTATTGGGGTATGGGGCAGATATTTGGGGTATGAGGGAAGGTATTGGGGGTATAGGGGTAGATATGGGTATATGGGGAGGTATTGGGGGTATAAGGGAAGGTATTGTGGGTATAGGAGTAGGAATTGGGGAAGGTGTTAGGGGTATAAAGGAAGGTATTGGGGCCTGGGGGGTAGATATTGGGGGTATAAAGGAAGGTATTGGGGTGTAAGGGCAGATACTGCTGTAAGGAAAGGTATTGGTATAAGGGCAGATATTGGAGGCATAAGGGCAGATATTTGGGGTATAGGGGCAGGTATTGGGG